ACTCCAAGTGATTCGGCCGGAATAAACCCACGAAGTCAGCTACCCAAACTGGGCAGATTTTCGGACTTTTTTGGTAGCTGACTTCATGGGTTTATTCCGGTCGAATCCCTTGGAATTATGGGGAGATTTTTGGTGGTAATTGAAGAGGACATTGTGGGCTTTCCAACGGTATCCCAAATCGACGGTTTTGGTGGTCGGAAGTTACCGAAAAATTGCCTCAAACTTGCCCAAAAAATCTGAAAATCTGGGCAGATTTTCACAATTTTCGGTTGCCGACTTCGTAGATTTATTCCGGCCGAATCACTTGGAGTTTTGGGGAGATTTTTGGTGGTAATTGAAGAGGACATCGTGGGCTTTCCAACGGTATCCGAAATCGACGGTTTTGGTGGTCGGAAGTTGCCGAACAATTGCCTCAAACTTGCCCAAAAAATCTGAAAATTCAGTCACCGTTTTGAAAGAAATTTGAAACTTCAGTGACCGTTTCTGAAACTTTGAAACTTCAGTGACTGTTTTGAAATTTTCAGGTCACTTCAGTGACGATTTGTGAAATTAACCCGTATTTAAACAAAAATCAAATATGATTTTTTTTTAATGCAAATAATTCTTGAAAATTGAAAAACAACCACAGCGTTTACTTTCACAGATCATTTTGATTCAACCTACGGACAAGGGGGACAAATCACCCAAAAAAAGAGTATGTTTTGGACCTCCAGTTTCTTGTTCAATTTGCTTGTAGTTTTACTTATTGCTGAAAAATTTACATCAGCTGAGGGGGAGTATGATCAAGAATATGCAAACCAGATTCTTAGCTCAGCGCAGAAAGAGAAAGATTGGTTGGTGTCAATAAGGAGAAAAATCCATGAAAATCCTGAACTGGGATTCCAAGAATTCAACACCAGTGCTCTAATTCGTGGTGAACTTGATAAACTAGGGGTTTTTTATGAGTACCCATTTGCTAAAACTGGCTTGGTTGCTCAAATTGGCACTGGTTCACCCCCTGTGGTTGCTTTGCGAGCTGACATGGATGCCCTACCCTTGCAGGTTCTCTTTCTGTTATCCTTTTTTTTTTCCCATTAATTGTGGATAATTTTGAAAATTTCCAGGCAGACACACTGTGAATGCTTGAAATTTCTTGGCTTGAATGTTTGACGTGCAGCGTCAGACAGTTAGATAAGATTTTAACTTTCAACTTATCAAACAAGCAAGTAATGTTTGATTGCTTTTTGATTTTTGGGTTGCTTGTATGTAATAGGAGATGGTAGAGTGGGAGCATAAGAGTAAAGTGCAGGGTAAAATGCATGGATGTGGGCATGATGCTCACACAACAATGCTGCTTGGCGCTGCTAAGTTACTCAATGAACGTAAGGACAAGCTTAAGGTGAGTTTGTTTGAAAAGAGATGACATGATCAATGATTTTGGGAATTGGTTCTCTTTGTGAAATGTAAGCAAAATGATTGGTGTTTGGTGCTTTCATGATTTTTTCTTAGAAGTAATGTCTCTGTACTTGAAGAGTATTTGGGAATCATTTCTAGATATGCTTGTGCATATTGCAGTATCTGGGAATCATTTCTAGATATGCTCGAGCATTTCTAGAGTTTTTGAAAAATCGACTCATTTAGGACGGATTTTCAAATTCCAATTATCAGGCCAACAATATGCTACCAAATTCAGCAAAAGGAATATAGAAGAGGGTTTGTAGAGAAAGGATATGGAAAAAATTAAGTTTGTAACTTACCGTCAATGGAATATTGGTACTCATATTCGTGTACTTATCTTTTAATGCTCAACTTTTTTGTTAATCTCAATTATAATATTGATCAAATTAGAGCTTTTTATGTTTTAATCAAAAGGATTTTCTCATTCGAAGTCCTAGTGTGTTCCAACTTCATTTCTATCAAATTTGATGAACTTCCTAATCACATTGTCTCATCTTAATCTCAAAGGGCAATAGTAAAATCTCTAGAACCTAAGAAGAAAAAGACATTGAGGCTGCCCCAGCATTTGCCCTTCTTCTTACTAGTGCATTGCCAATCCAATGATTCTGCAATAAAAAAGAGAAGGGAGGGAGCTGTTTAAATGTACATTTTTTAATGATATTTTGGTAGAGGATCAACTCGACCGTCTAATTAATTTAAGATTGTAAGTTTTACTGATGTAAACTGCGCAATCATATTCCAAGTCCTGTATCAAATCTCAGTCTTAAGTTGGCCAATGCAAGGGGAACTATTGCTGGCTACTGACTGAACACTTCAAAACTGCTCAGCCTCTAGTTGATGAGGCACTTAAAAAACACATTTCTCATTTTCTCCTTATAGGTCAAACGGTTTGGAGAAAGACTTCATTAAAGCTGGTTCATGAATCATATTTTTATCTCTCTCTCAGCTGAAGCTATTATCATCTCAGATTTGAACTAAATTACTATCGCTTGTATACCTGAAGTTCAGTTAAAGTCTCATCCATTTCAGTTAAGATATTTGGTAATTGTGATTCATGAACATGTCTAGACAATACATAATAAGTGATTAGATGTAAAGTAAATTACTATTGCATAAGTTCAGTAAAAGTCTCATCAATTTCATATTAAATTGGTTGTTTGTTACTTCCAATAGGCCTAGACCTTACCTCTACAAGCGATTTCCAGAATTTCTGTCATCTTATTTGAAAAAAAAAAAGAAAATAATTGGGAGAGGAAGAAAATTGAGGTACTGTCTGATGAATTGGAAATGTGCTTACTTCTGGTTGTTTTTTTTAACGGGTATTTGAGATCAACGTGGAAGCAGGGGAAGGGAAAATGGGGGAATGGAGGGCGGTAGAATGGGCTAGGTAAGAAACAGTGAGGGGAGGAAGAAGAAAGGTATATTGAGATTTTGGGTGGTTAGGGGGGTGAGGGGCGCGTAAGAAGCTCTTTACATAATTTTGATTTTGAAAAGTGAGGCTCTTTTTTATTCTCTCTCTCCAACTTGGACTTTCTTAGATAATTTCCTCAAAACCATTTACAGTTAAGGTCATGTTTGGTATGTAGTATTGGAGAGAATTGTGCAATACTATGGGCAAGACTTTGGCTTTTTTTTTGTTATTTAATACTGTTCAATGTTGTAAAATCCAAGCATTAAGTGTTTTGTTTAACTGATGTTGAAGGGAACAGTGAGACTTCTTTTTCAACCTGCTGAGGAGGGAGGTGCTGGTGCATCTTATATGATAAAAGAAGGTGCTCTTGGTGATACAGAAGCAATATTTGGGATGCATGTTGATTTTAAAAGACCAACGGGAACTATAGCGAGTCTTTCAGGCCCCGTTTTAGCTGCTGTATGCTTCTTTGAAGTAAAGATAGAAGGAAAAGGTGGGCATGCTGCAGATCCTCACAAAAACACTGATCCAATAATTGCTGCATCCTTTACGATTTTGGCCTTGCAACAGCTCATCTCGAGAGAAGTAGATCCACTTCACAGTCAAGTATGTCTCCTTTTATTTAGATTACACCTTAATTTTTTGCTTCCATGTTGCTTTACCACTTTAAACTGTAGAAAGCATTTTCCTTGCAGAGGTATGTTCTGTAAATATTTAATCTGATTTTCTTTCTCCAAACAAAGATTCTTTTCTTTTTCATGGATTAACATCCAAGTATTATTTTTCTGCTTAGCACTAGTATAATTTGAACTGAACACTTGGTAGCTTCCATAAAAAATGGAGTTTTATGACTATTTGTAAGTGAAAAATATTACGAGGGACTGCTGAACTTTGAGTTTGTACTGAAGGTGCTGTCAGTCACTTATGTCCACGGTGGGACTGCATTGAATGTAATTCCGAATCATGTTGAACTAGGTGGTACTCTGAGGAGTCTTACAACTGAAGGCTTGCTACGACTCAAGCAGAGGGTGAAAGAGGTACAAAGATTTTTTTGATCAACCTTTGATACTGGATCTTCACAATAAAATAGACCTATGGTGTCTTCAAATGTGCCTCATTATTTCATAGAATGTGCTACCAGAGGATATGGCTCAAGTTTCAACATTTTATTCCTGCACTACCGCGTTGCCCCAGTTCTTTGATGCTTCATTTTTGTCCTTATTTCTAATACCTTAAAGCATGATTAGCTGTGTTTATAAACTAAACTTACTTTTAAGTTACTTATTTTGTCAAATATGTTTTCATGGTTAAGTCTTACGTTTAGTGGTCCTATCTTCTGTATATTGTACTGTTTTTCTTATTCCAACTGCTCTTTTTCCGCATTGTGTTTCCCACTGTTCTTTTATTTGTCAATTCTCATGACCTTGACCCTAGTCCGATGTCAAGAATACCAATCTTTTGTTATTTTTCTCTCATTGGTGTACAAAAAAATTTTGTGTACTCGGGCTTGTAGGTTATTGAAGGACAGGCAGCTGTACACAGATGCAAGGCATATGTTGATATGAAAGAAGAGGAGTTCCCTCCATATCCAGCTACTGTGAATGACAAGCCGTTACATCAGCATGTCAAAAGGGTCGGGAGAATTCTGCTCGGTCTGGAGAATGTCAGGGGCGGCGAAAAAGTTATGGCGGGTGAGGATTTTGCTTTCTACCAAGAAATGATCCCAGGAGTCATGTTTAGCATTGGGATTAGAAATGAGAGAATTGGCTCAATTCACTCTCCGCACTCACCTCATTTCTTTCTTGACGAGGATGTACTGCCAATTGGAGCTGCATTACACACTGCTATTGCAGAGACTTATTTGAATGATCACCAACATTCTGCTGTTCAGTAGAGAGATTTTCTGGGCATTTCATTTTTCTTTGCACAGTGTGTATCTATAGATGATTCTATAAGGTATTCGAAAGTCGACATTATATCTATATTATAATTACATCCAGAATATTATCTATTTGTCTTGTTTTTTAAATTCAGAAACTATAACATAGTAAAATCTTATGTAGCCTTCGAGTAACTTGTGTTACTATTCAAACGCAAATGATTCTCTTTGAAAAATAATGGAAGAATATCTGAAAATATTTTAGGAATCTAAGGAAATTGTTGGCATGCTACAACTTGGAAATAATTTTCACATGATCTACAGTGTCCGAGGTAAAGTATCTTAGACTGAACATGATAAATGACAAATTGTCACTCATGTGATGAAGATAAAACTATTGCAAGAAATAAGACAAATTAGATCGATGATCCTAGAGACCCTTACGACTTACGAGACAGCTACACGAATTCCTATTTCTCAATGATATTTCATAATAAGACAATTGGTTGAATCTTGTGAAATCATTTTATAGAAGTTCATTGATATCTTCTTTTTGTAAAGTAAATCGACTTCGATTATTGAATAATTCACATCACTTCCACTCCTATTGGAACACAAGATTCCCTTTTTCTGTGTTCTTTAATCGATATAAGAACTTAGTTTATAAGAACCAAGAATGTAGATAGGGGAAAATCAAAAACTTTCGAGCATTTACAAAGTCTAGTTATTTTTTTTTACAGACGCTTACCTCTATTAGTCATTGAAGTATTAGAGTGGATTTGGGGAAAAAAGAAGAAGAGTACCATGGAATAAGACTTGGGTGGATGAACAATTAACAAAGAACAAGAATTAATCAAGGGAAAATTGTAGCGGTGGACCCTAATCTTTTCAATTTTTGTAGTCTTTATCATAACTTTCAATTTGTGTCAACGGGGTCCTATCCTTCTTGAAATATGCATTTAGAGTCCAAATGGGTGAAATCCATCAACTTTTCTGTTAGTTGATCAAGAAATTGATTTTGACTAGATTATTAATTATTTCTATAAGGGAAAAATGATAACTTTATCTCTTTCTATATAAAAACAATTAAAATAATTAAATAAAAAATCATTATCTTCTTCCTCCACCCCCACCCCATACAGACCCACCTCCACCTCCACATCCACATCCACCCCTACCCAAAACCAAACCCCATTTGCTACATGCCGCCGTCGACAGTAGCCTGTCACTATTGCCATCATAGCCCACCACCACCACTACCACAACAAACACAAAGCAAAATCCTCATAATCACAATCACAACACAAAACCAAACCCCTGCTACTCATCGTCATCCACAACCGTTCCCCGTCGTCCTCGTCGTCACCATCACCCACGGCCACCACCATCACCAACAATACAAAGCAAAATCCTCAAATCATAATCACAACACAAAGCAAAACCCAAAACTAAACCCTTGCTACCCATCTTTGTTTACAGCCACCCCCCGCCACTATCTTCCACGAGACCACGACCACTGCTATTATCGCCAACATAAAGCAAAATCCCCAAATCAGAATCATAGATCACAATCACAACACAAAGCAAAATGTTAGGAATATTATGCCTAACTCCACCTAATAAAANAGAAATATTGGGCCTAACTCCACCTAATAAAACTGACTTATTAGGGGAGGATTGCTCTCACCTTATTAAGTGGATCATTTATATTTTCCCAAACAATTTGAGATTCTAATAGAAAACCCCCAAATCAACCTCTATATTGACCGTTAAACTTCCTTTCGCCACCAAATCAATGAGTCTGACTGGATTCGACATACCCACCACCCCATGCAATGTGAAGCTTAACATTAAGAACACTTCACCAGAAGCACTCCTCCCTTTTTGTACCTCCACCATAAACGACCCACCAGATTCCTCCACTTTCATCGCAGGCTTCCACTTTGACACCGACGCCACCCCATTGCCACCTTTCAAGTAAGCATATTACCCTCAAAATATCAATCTTCACCTGCTGCATTGGACACATTTGTCGAGTCAGTTCGGGGTAGGGACGGAGGGACAGTAGGTGGTAGTGGTGACGGGATTGGTTTTCCCCATTTTTGGGTAGGTGGGGGTGGAATGGGATGGGAAGAAATAGATACAAGAGGATATTTTCATTTTTTTTCTTTTTATTTAATTTTTTATATTAAAATTGTTAAGTTACTATTTTGTCATTTTACAATTTGGTCAAAATCAACTTCTCTGATCAACTAACGGTCAAATAGATGGATTCCATCCATTTGGGCTCCAGATGCCTATTTCAGAAAGGTTAAGGACATCTGCTGGCACAAATTAAAAGTTAGGATAAAGTTTACAAAAATTAAAAAGGTAAGGAACCGCTACTTCAATTTTCCCATTAATAAATGAAAAGCAACGAGAAGGTTCTATAATTTTTAGGTAGAGATCATGTGCACAAAATGCTATAATTAATAAGTTGGTTAAAAATGAAGAAAAAATAAACGATTATGGAATTAAACAAATAGACTAAACATAGAATACTAGAAAATGAGTGCAACAAAGACAAGGCATTATTAAAAAGATGAACCGCATCCTTAGCGACCCCCACCTGTCCTGCCCTAGACCTTGGTGAAATAGGTAAATTGCAGGTTATACCTCCAAGGGTACATGGTGGAAGACTGCTTGTACACTTGCACTTACCCAAAGGTCAAATCTATATTTCAGGATTCGAACCCTTGATGTGGCAGCCTCAAGTAAAGTTGGAATTTTTCCACCTTCCCCTTTTACCACTTGGAGATGTGCCCTGAGGGCAAAAAAGACAAGGCATTATTTTGCTTGCTGTTAGTGGATATTGACATATTAAGTGGAGTGAAAATTATTCAAACACCAAATAGTAAACACAATCTCTCACTTGAAATTGTGTTTGAATAAGTGATTTATGAATGATTTTGATTAATTTGACACTTAACACAATTAAAAAAAATTGACCAAACACAATTTTAGTTTTGACAATGGTGCTTGTACGAATTATTTACTAATAATTATTACATGTAATTGCACTAAAATTAAAGTTGATCGGCTTGATTGTAACATATTGAAGTTGAATGACTCAATTGAAGTTTTACCAAAAGTTGAAAGACCAAAATTGTATTTTATATAATAATTGTATTGCTATTCATCAAACCATCTTGAGACCACGAGTTAACCCGCCTTACTATTAGAAAATCGTGAATTGAAATGTTTCTTGGGTAATTAATGAGGCTCATCTCATTTTGTCTGGGAGCAGGGTGAGTTAACTTAAGAAAATTACAGCCATCAAGGGTTTTAAACTTTATTTCACAATTATCAAATAGTTGAGAGAAATGCGAAACCCATATAATTTCAGATTCCTTACCTCAGTTTGCTCAAAAAAATTATTGATCTGAAACTTTATTCGTAGCAAATATTATCATCGAAGACAAGATCTCTTTGTCTCCGATTTGGTGTGGTGCTAGTGGCTCAAGGCTGTGTCGGGTGTCGGTTGAAGTTCATCTGAATTCTGAAGAGGAAAATGACTTTTGATATATTAGGTTAGTCTTGAGATTATTAGATATAAATTAGGATTATTGGGTAATAATAATNCAAAACAATTTCGTTGACGAGTCCACGTGGCACCAAACTGCCGATTGCGAAATTGCGGTTTCGATTCGATTTTTTGATTTGGCGATTTTTGCTTACAGCCTTACATCAAATCATCTTGAGACCACGAGTTAACCCGCCTTACTATTAGAAAATTGTGAATTGAAATGTTTCTTGTGTAATTAATTAGGCTCATCTCATTTTGGCTGGGGGCAGGGTGAGTTAACTTATGTGAAAATTACAGCCATCAAAAGTTTAAACTTTCCATTTTATAATTAAGATCTACAAGTTTTTTTTTTCAAAAATTAGATGATAATTAAAATTTTAAATATTAATAATTATATTACATTATAATTACAAAAATTAAATTAATCTATATACCCAACCCATCTACCCCACCGATTTCAAAACCCTCAACCTTTTTCATTTCTTCTAAAAATTTTAAATATTAATAATTATTTTATAAATTAATTTATATACTCAAACCCTACCCCATCTAGCCCATTCAAACCTTAATGATTTTCTCCCTCACATTCCTCTCCCTTATCTCTTCTTCTCCCATCTCTCTCTTCCTTCCCCTCACAAAGGATTGTTGTTGTTGTTGTTGCTGCCACTGGAGAGCATTGCAGCCGGAGACCATCTCACCTTTTGTGGGTTTGAGATGTTTTAAAACTGGTAATGACACTTTGGCCGAAGGAGGAGTCGGGCCAGAAGTCGGTGGAGGTAACGCGACAATTACCCCTACTCCATTCACTCTCTGAAAGCTGCAGCGACTCCAACTATCCACCAGAAGTTATAGTGTCGCTGCGAACGCTGTGAGCGTCGTTGTGGGACGGTGCCTACACCGCTGTGGCTTTCGACATCACGATGCAACAACAACTTGAAGTAGTTTTCATGCTACCATGGTTTTCAGCAGCGACGACATAATAGATTTGCTTTGCGGTGGTTTTTATATCGCCGGCGTACAAGTGATGAGGTGGTACGGTGGTGAGATGCTGATGATGGTGGTAAATCTGCTTGGGGTGTGGTGGGGGTGGTGTTGGTGTTGATGCTGTTTATGGTGGTTTTGGTGTTGTTAGGGATTTTTGTCGGTTGTGTTGGTGGAGGTGTGGCGATGGTGGTGGATCTAGCGGTGGTGATGGCAATGATGATGGTGTTGGTAGGGGCCTAGTGACCTTACCGGGGAGCCTTTGGTCGACTACTGGTGTTGCTGGTGGATGGTACAGGCCGTGATGGTGGTGCTATAGGTGGTTGGTGCAAGTGGTGGTGGATCTAGCCATGGCAGTGAGGTATTGGTTTTGATTTTTGTTATTAGCGTGGTGGTTTCCATATTTTGGTGGTGTTAGGGGTTTAAGGAGGTTTTTGTTGATGGTGCAGGTTGAGGCGGTGGCGGTGGCGGTGGTGGTGGTGCGATGAGTGGGATGGCGTGGGTTGGACGGTGTTTGAGACCAATTATTTGGTTGATTGTGACCAATAAATTAGTTCACTTGCAACCAATAAATAATATGTGACCAATTATTTGAGACCGTGAACAATAAATTAGACATTTTGTAAATAATATGTGACATATAACTTATGATCAATAAATAATACGTGACCTAAAAATCTGAGCTGTGACTTATAAAATTTGTAACTTGCGATCGATAAATAAATTGTGACTTATAATTTTTTTGATGTGTGACCGATGAATAAATTGTGAGATATAAATTTTTTGATTTGTGACCTATAAATTTTTTGATTTGTGACGAGAAATAATTTGTGATCAATTAATTCGATAATTTGTGACCAATAGTATAGAAATGTGATCTTAATATATTTAATTAATAAAATAAATTTTTATTTAATTATTTTATAAATAAAATTTAATTAATGTCCGATTTTTGAAATAATAAACTTTGTTTCTTAATTTTAAAATGTGTCAATATAATCTCTTAAATTTGAAATTTCCCCTTTAACTTATTTTAGGCTGGACTGTAATTTATTTTGGGATAATTAGGCTCATTACCCACCCTCCAAAAACAACAAATTAGAATAATACCCATAAACTAATGAAGATTTTTACTTCCGTAATAAACACGCTCAAAACCCACCTTAGACGTAAGTGAAGAAGATGGAAAACTCATCAACGATGCTGGAGATAAAGAGGTAGTGCCATCTATTGACTCTTCTATCACGGTGTCAACTTTAATAAAAACATCATGGCAATACTTACCCAGACCCTTTCCCACAAACAAATCACGGAACCCACACAGACGCAACGGCTGATAAGGACTACGACATGGACGAGGGGTCTGTGCAATTCATCAATTTTTTAATTTCATTTTATTATTGTTCTCAAAGATTATTTGTTGGGATCAGGGTTTACCTAGGGTTTTTGTTTTCACTAACTAGAATTTTTTAATTTTTGCAAAAACGAAGATGAGCCAATTGATTCTGAACCCAATGTAAGAAGCTTTATTTCTTTTTATGTTTGTATATTATCACTTATAACGTTTTCGCAGTCCATCGGTGATTTACTGTTTTTTGTGTGGCAATTGATAGGAAGGTGTAGAGTTGGAAGAATAGAACAATAACAATGAGGATGCTCCAGATGACATTGTAGGCGAAGGTGAAGAGAAACAAGAGGAAGAACTTGTTGAACGCCCTCGGAAAACGTCCAAGAATATTACCAAATATAAGCGTGCAAGGATAGGTGGGGTTCTTCTTTATGTTTTTGTTTTTTATATTTAAAAATTTTTATTCTAAATTCTACGTAATTGTATGAAAAATCATGAAGCTCTATAAATGTTGCATAGTAAACTATGAATTTCAAAGGTTTAATTTGATTGGTTTGCCTTCATGAATGTTATCGATGTGTGAAATTGAACAATTTTATCGCTATCTTGTCTTAGATTAAACAAATAGACTGAAAACTCTAAACTTCTATCCAAAATTTTAACAGAGTAAAATAGATATTAACTATTCAACGAGAAAATCACCATTATACTATTTCTATCACTTTTTTTTAGTGTTTGTCATTTTTTTTTTAATTTCGTCACTTTTTGAGAGTTTGTCACTTTTTTGAATTTTGTCATTTTTTGAGTATTTGTCACTTTTTTATTTTCTATCACTTTATTTTTTAATACATGTAACTTTTTTTTTTTAAATTTGGGTCACTTTTTCGAATTCGCCAATTTTTAAAAAGTTCTGTAACTTTTTTAAATTTTTGTCATTTTTTTTAGTATGTCACTTTTTTGAATTTTTGACATTTTTTTTAGTGTTTATCACTTTCTTTTTCAATCACCTTCTTTATTTCTATCACTTTTTATAGTGATAAATATCATTTTTTAAAAGTAAAAGTGATATTGTATGTTATTTTTTAATAAAAAAAGTGACACTTAACTTTTAAAAGTAACATCGGGTCACTTTTTCGTATTAAAATGTGACATTGTGACACTTAATTTTACATAGTATTTTATACTTCTAAAAAAAAATTCATATGATTTTTCAGAAAACCTATAATTTTAAGGGTATTTTTGCAAGTTGCCCATTTTGTGTTGGGTCCATGTATAAATACTTTAATTTTTGAGTATTTTATTATTGGGAAAATTAGGCTCAATGCCCTCTTAAACTAACTAAATTGAATAATACCATTTTAAAACTAATTAAAGAATTCAACCAGTAATTAATATGTCCTAAACCTAAAATCCAATTATCGAACATTGGTCCGGTGGAAACGACAGAATCTCCACGTCCGGCGACCAAACTGGTTGGAACTCACCACTAGCTAACTCCCCACCCCTAGACGACATCACCCATGCCACCAATTTGCACCAAAATACTAGCAAAAAACCTGAATTGAATCCAGAAAGTTCTCCCTGTCGCAACGCAGTCTGTGAAAATTTGCAATTTCGACATCGTTCGAATGAATTCCGGTTTCGGACCAGCTGGGCTAGGTGCGCCTTCACCTGGCGCACTTTGCCTAGCCATGGGTCAAGACTAATTGCACTTGGGACCTGATCAATTTTTGCCTGCAACGATGAACTTGTGCGAAAAATTTGGAACTAACCAATTTTGATGAATCTATGCTGCTCCAACTCTTCAATTCGATCAACTAAAACTTAATTGACAATGAAAAGGCCATGGGTAATTGATGAATCTATGCACGAGTATCGCCTTGCTCAAGCACAAACCACTATCCCTCAAGGGAGAAATTTAGCCCAGGTAACATTTCAAATTAATTTCAACTCAATCAAACTAGATTATGTAAACCAGTATAAGCAATTTTAGTGGTTGTTCATTTCAATTTTTCGCAGGAAAACTGGGTAGTTTGTTGTATATTTTTGAAGAGAAGAAGCAACAAAAATGACGACCAGGCAGCACCAGTGCCAAAAGGAAGCAGATTGGGGCCTACCGTAGGAAAATCTATGCCGATTTTCTATGATTTCATGACCAAGGATAGGACTGATTTGAATCTGGTTCGTGTATCCTCGTCCTCAGGTTCAAGTGGGATCACACAAATCGAATCAGATAATCATGAAGAAAGCAGTAGTTGCAATATTTTTTGAAGGAAAACTTGTCATCAATAGACTGTATAACTTTTTGAGCGTGTCACTTTTTTTTATCTGTATAACTTCTTTTAATTTGTGCAACTTTTTTGAATTCATCATTTTTTAAAAAATTTGTCACTTTTTTTTTAGTTTTTTTGTCACATTTTAAGTTTTTGTCATTTTTTAAGAAGATAAAAACAATGAAATAATATGTTATATTTTCTTAACATAATGAGCACGTGGATTAACCTGAACATGGTGATTATTTTAAGAAAATGATTACTGGTGCTGCACAAATGGATGATGCTATTTTGATATTTGTCACTTTTTTTTAGTTTTATCACTTTTTTGAGTTTGTGTCACATTTTTTTTAAAAATAGTGAAAAAGTGACAATTTTTATAAAAAAATGATATTGTGTCACTTTTTTATTTTACACAGTATTTTTTACTTCCTAAAAACTTTTCATATGATTTTTCAAAACATCCATAATGTAACGGTATATTTGGAAGTACCCCTTTATTATTTTGGATATGGCCAGGCCTGGGCTACCCGCACTTGTCATTAATGATCCAAACTTTTGGAATTGGGTGCTTTTACTCAGTTATGACGAACAAAAGGCCAAAATCGAAATGCAGTGACGAAACGATGACTACAGGAGAAAGCAGTTACAAAATGGTATTGTTTTCAACAAAAACTATGTCTCTCTCCCTCCACAGTCTGCTGCCCTCTGAAACAGTAATTTAAAAGCTTAAATTATCTAATATAATCAATATTTATTTATTTTTATTTATCAAAGCTAGAGATGGGAAGACTGGCACATTCTTGGAACCAAAAACAATTTTTATTTGCAATTTAGTTTATTGCGAAGAGTTTGAAGCAGGGAAAAGTAAATATAAATTCAAAAACATTTTAAATTATTATGCGAAATAAGTATGCACAATTTGGTAACGAAAAATTCAATTTTTTTTTTTTTAAATAGTGGGTTTTATAGAAATATAAAAAATTCGTCGATGTTAATAATTAAATTCTCAACCAAATAGAATCATGTAGATTTAATTTGTTGTTGAAGAAAAAATAAAGTTAAATTAATTGGTGGTTGGTTGAACTTGATTATTAATTTGCTTTATCAAAGATAGGGCTGGGCAAAATGTCCGAACCGAACCGAACCGAACCGAACCGAACGGGTTTTTTAAAATGAAATACCTGAACGGGTATCCGAATCGAGAACCGAATGGTTTGGTTCGGTTCTCGGTTCTAGACCCAGAACCGAAGAACCGAATAAGAACCGAATTTTTTTTTT